CAGTGTGATCTCATCAGGTGGCCCATCAACATCTTTCATACCTCAGGAAGCATAGAATAAGTCAAGTAGCAAGTATCACCCCTTGTGCTCTTAACAAGTCAAAGTGATCTTAACCCATTTGTTCTCTTAACTGAAGGTTAAGGAGGAGGGCAAAGACACTTTGAATATTTCATACTTATCATCAGTTTCCTCTAAGTCTTTTCCCATATCAACATTTACTTTACTTCACTCATATAAACATATAAAAACATACAAAAATATCTCCCAGCTTTTCAACTCTTTCCATTATCGGATTCCAGACTTCTGTAAACCACGCCAAATTCTTTCCACTCAAAATTCCACTAAGTCTCAGCTGATTTCATGTTGATCTAGGTTTGATAAGAGACTGCTACATATAGTTTTCTCCATCAACAGTTTTTTGCCACAAAAATAAAATAAATTTGTTGTCAGAATTCTAGTGTAGTACATTAGAGGGGCAGGTCTTTCAAACCACCCGTAACAGTTTTAATAAATTCCTACATACCTGAAATATCATAACTGCTATTTCCCCCTCGCAGGACTGCCATCTATCCCAAAGGAGTTCTCACATCTGGTGTCCCAACAGTCGGGGGGTGGTGATCGGAGGCTGGGAGATGGGGGGTGGTGATTGGAGGCTGGGAGATGAGGGAAGAAAGGGAACTTGGCCAAGAGGGGAGACAGTCTGTACTTATGACTGTAAATTTTGGTCTGGGACAAGGTCGGCATTCCCCACGTCATGAGCCAAAGGGAAGAACTTGATCAAATCAAGGGAAGAGGCGAGGGACTTTTCCATGGTGATGTGAATCAGACAAATTTTTGGCCAAGTGAGCTCTGCTTGTATAACATTGATATCTTCATTGTTAAGCTTGAGACTCTTCTTGATTGATTTAATAGCCACAGGCAGGCAGGTGGCTGATAAAAAAAGAATTGGCTTGTTTTTTTGAAAGAGCAGGTGTGATCAAATTCTGTAATCCACAGTGTTCTAATATCAGCACATCATGTTGAGGGGAACCCAGGTGATCGAAACAAAGAGATGACAGCCGAACTCACTGTGAGGTTGACTGGGTGAGAAATATGGATAGATTTTGATGAGGAGGAAGCAGGAGACTGAAACCGGCACACTAGTAGAGATGACATGCTTAGTAGAAGCATAACTAGCTATAAGCATATGATGACTACATACAGGCATCTCAACACATCAGGCATGGACTTGGTAGCCTAGTTGGTAAAGGCAGCACTTCTAGTATAGTGTCTTAGCTTCAAGCTAAGGTCGCTGGTTTGAATCCTGCCCAAGTCAATCATTTTATGCTAACTGTCTGAAAAATGCATTTTTAATTTTAACAAGGTGGCCACCCAGATTTCCGTAACGGGGTCAAAAAATCCCAATTTCCTGGAACCAAAGAAGGATTGCATCTGCCTTCTTTCCATGACCGCTTTCAACAAGGCCCCATATGTAGATCATGTGAGCCTCATCAACAACAATTAACGCCAAACAATTCTGGAACTTGCTGCTGAAATAGACCGCCTCCCAAATCTTGTTGTTGAGAAACGTCTCTGAACTCATGTATACAAACTGATACACACCATTTGAATTTTTTCTTGCAACTTCTTGGTTGAAATTCATCTTTTTTAGATTTACTGCTGTGAAGCCGGCTTGTACCTTCTCAAAAACTTGATTATCCCCCAAACAGTCCAAGGGGTTTAAAACTAGCACAAACACTTGCTTGTTCTGAGGTATCATCTTGTAGTATAGTTCAGCAATTCGAGATTTCCCAAATCCAGTTCTGGCCAGAAGAAATGTATTCTTTCCTCTGATTAGATTCAACACCACATCAGTTTGCTGAGTCTTTGAGGGTTGACCGTAGGTTTCAAGTGAAACCTGTTCAATGTGAGTCTTCACATCAGCATCACACCTTTTGTAAATCTTCTTATAGACATTCATGCCTGTTGGATTCCATATCCTTTGGGGTTTGGGAATGATTGTGCAACTTGAGATTTGATTAAGCATTGGGTCAGAAGTTTGATGAAGTGATGCAGGCCTATGTGCAATGAAGGAGTGTTTTCTCTGAGATTGTTTGGACCCTTATAACCAAAATTATTGCCCTTTACCTGTGTGATCCAACAACTTACAGATAATCTACTTGTCAATAATGTGGCTGGCAATGTATCCAATACACCTGCCACACTTCAAAACATAACCCATAATACAGGATTTTGGTCCCAGAGATTCCTCAACTCCCGGGACAGCGCAAGCTTGTAGCTCTGGTGGAAATGATGTAATCTTGACATTACATTGAAGCTTACAAGGTTGGGTATCTGCTTGTTTTTACCGCATTGTTGTGCAATGCAGGAGTGGTTTGTAGTTTCAGTTTTTCTCCAGTTTGATGCTAAAAGCCACAATAAGTGTCAGCCTGCTACTAATCAGAGCCAGCCTGAACATAGCACTCATTTATAATTAGAGATATTATTACTTATATTAGAGATGGCCCTGGCGCATCCGGATATCCGCTCACGTTTTCAGTGAAATCAGACATCCGCATCCGCTGGCAGGTATGCGGATATCCGCCCCTTAAATGACCCCTAGGGTGCAAAATGAATTGTTATGGGTGTTCTGGGGAGAGCAGGAAGGGATCTCCAGGGTTCTGGTTCTTGATGGTAGATTGCAAGATGAGGAATGTACAAGGTTCGGATCTCGAACGAACTCCAAGTTCGAAGTTCGTGACATGTACGTAACAGGCTCTCTACATATGTAATGTCCCCAGTTCCAGTCCTCCACAGCTCATAACATGAATGTTCCTTGGGGAAATTTCAGATTTTTGGAGCTGCATAAACAGCAATTTTGAAGTCCTCGCAGCATGAAAGCCTTCAATTTTTTTTTCTTTTTTCTTTTTTTAATTAATTTTTTACCACTTATTTTTCATGTTTTTTTGAAATTTTAAATTTAGGGTCTTAGTTAAACGTCTCCCAAATATTGGAGTTCCGACTCTCAAATATTTGGGACGTCGCTAAGACCCCCTGCGGACGGTCCGCAGGCCGTCCACCCCCGGAGATGGGAGTCGGACCTTCCAAACCTTCAACAGGCTTGGGAGTCAATCCTCCCAAGAAAAAATAAAATAAAAAGATAAAAAAATGAAAAACCCCGGGGGTTTTTGGGAGTCGATCTTCAAAAACCCCCAGGGAGGTTGGGAGTTGGCGCCGGACTCGACTCTCAGCGGCGGAGAGGAATCCCTCTCCGCCGTTGAGAGTGTATACTCTCACCAGCCGAGAGGGATTCCTCCCGGCCGCTGAGAGTGTATACTCTCACCAGCCAAGAGGAATCCCTCTCCGCCATTGAGAGTGTATAGCTCTCACTCGTGACTTCGCAGAGGGATTCCTCCCGGCCAGTGAGAGTGTACACTCTCA